AGATGTTATTGAGATATAGAAGAGATGTTACTGAGATACAGAAGAGATGTTATTGAGATATAGAAGAGATGTTACTGAGGTATAGAAGAGATGTTACTGAGGTATAGAAGCGATGTTATTGAGATATAGAAGAGATGTCCTGAGGTATAGAAGAGATGTTACTGAGATATAGAAGAGATGTTACTGATATATAGAAGAGATGTTACTGATATATAGAAGAGATGTTACTGAGATACAGAAGAGATGTTATTGAGATATAGAAGAGATGTTACTGAGATACAGAAGAGATGTTATTGAGATATGGAAGAGATGTTACTGAGATATAGAAGAGATGTTACTGAGATATAGAAGCGATGTTATTGAGATATAGAAGAGATGTCCTGAGGTATAGAAGAGATGTTACTGAGATATAGAAGAGATGTTGCTGAGGTATAGAAGAGATGTTATTGAGATATAGAAGAGATGTTACTGATATATAGAAGAGATGTTACTGATATATAGAAGCGATGTTATTGAGATGTAGAAGAGATGTCCTGAGGTATAGAAGAGATGTTACTGAGATATAGAAGAGATGTTGCTGAGGTATAGAAGAGATGTTATTGAGATATAGAAGAGATGTTACTGAGATATAGAAGAAATGTTATTGAGATATAGAAGAGATGTTACTGAGATATAGAAGAGATGTTATTGAGATATAGAAGAGATGTACTGAGGTATAGAAGAGATGTTACTGAGATATAGAAGAGATGTTATTGAGATATAGAAGAGATGTTATTGAGATATAGAAGAGATGTTACTGATATATAGAAGAGATGTTACTGATATATAGAAGCGATGTTATTGAGATATAGAAGAGATGTCCTGAGGTATAGAAGAGATGTTACTGAGATATAGAAGAGATGTTGCTGAGGTATAGAAGAGATGTTATTGAGATATAGAAGAGATGTTACTGAGATATAGAAGAAATGTTATTGAGATATAGAAGAGATGTTACTGAGATATAGAAGAGATGTTATTGAGATATAGAAGAGATGTACTGAGGTAAAGAAGAGATGTTACTGAGATATAGAAGAGATGTTATTGAGATATAGAAGAGATGTTGCTGAGGTATAGAAGAGATGTTGCTTGAGATATAGAAGAGATGTTATTGAGATATAGAAGAGATGTTATTGAGATATAGAAGAGATGTTATTGAGATATAGAAGAGATGTTACTGAGATATAGAAGAGATGTTATTGAGATATAGAAGAGATGTTATTGAGATATAGAAGAGATGTTACTGAGATTTCTAAGATGCCTAGCGGTTAGAACAATCGAAAAAAAAATACATTATCAGACAATAAAGGTATAGTTTTTTGATGACGTAACAATTGAATGACGTTATCCCGTCACTGCGCCATTCTAGTGTGCCCCCTCGTAATCGAACCATTTTACATTACGTCACAATGTAAGCGACGTCACGATGCATGTCAGTTGTCATCGCCTCGTACGGCCTCCTACAGTAAACTACACCGTTGCATCCCGTTTCTTGGTTTGCTGTTGCTTCACGCAGCTAACATCACTGGTGGAAACATTACGTTTATGTTTTACGACGGTTAAAATGTGTCATTTCGACTCACAAGTTTTCAGCGACACGGTAACGTTCGTAATGTTTACATTCCCACAATGCAATTGTGGAATGTCGCTTGACTACTCAACTTCCTCTGGATGTACTGATCTAAACTTACGCTGGTAGAAGAAATGCAACGTTCATATTGCTCCATATGGTTTACGTTAATGACAGATGTAATTAAAATAATTCAGAGAAGATATTTAATCCGAACGTAAACCGTCATCAAACTGTTATCATTTGTTTTTTTCTGGTAACGTTCGTCTTAACGTAGGGGGCAGACACATCAATAGAACAGCGCGCCAGTTAGCCCTGTGCGAGGATTCTTAATTTAGGTCACCGACACCGTCGTTTGTTTTCTGCCTTAAATTAATCGTAATTATCTTTAGAAAGTATCAAATTTGGCATCTTAGAAAAGAAATACAATTCGCCCTACCACCATGTATAGTGTAATAAAACACACTTTCGCCCTGAACTATTATAACGTTAAAGCACTCGGACGCAAGCGTCCTCGTGCTTTAACTATAATAGTTCAGGGCAAAAGTGTGTTTTATTACACTATACATGGTGGTAGAGCGAAGTGTATTTCTTAAATAGAAGAGATGTTACTGAGATATAGAAGAGATGTTATTGAGATATAGAAGAGATGTTATTGAGATATAGAAGAGATGTTATTGAGATATAGAAGAGATGTTGCTTGAGATATAGAAGAGATGTTACTGAGGTATAGAAGAGATATTACTGAGATATAGAAGAGATATTACTGAGATATAGAAGAGATGTTACTGGGATATTATAGAGATGTTGCTAAGATATAGAAGAGATGTTGCTGAACTATAGACGAGATGTTGCTAAGATATCGAAGATATGTTATCGAGATATAGAAGGCGACACTTCGTCGAGACCAGGATAAAACCTTCTTTGCCAGTACCATGCTCCAATTCGATGGCATCACCAGAGTTATGAACGAGGCTTCCCCACCGCTGTGCAGCAATGTTTAAAGCCGCTTGCAAACAAACTAACTTACATAACGCTGAAGCACAGCTGTAGTACTGACGGCGGTACGTGGTTCGGTTCCCGAGATACTGTCGAGGAGGTGTAGAGATTTGGTTGAGATAGCGATACGGTGGTAATTGCCCAGCCAACTAGCCCGAGGCTAGTAAAGAGGGGGTATGGAGTAGATTGTTCGGGTGTTACTGCCTAAGGGTTATGTGCGAAACTGCTAATCTACGTAAGATGTACGTTTATTTCAGATTTCAAAATGGTTCGTTGCACATAATTATATTGGATTAAAAGCTATGTTGGATAGGTGAAATTAGGTATTATCAACATTCGTGATAAAAACTCGGACACGTACACTGTGCATGACAACGATACGTGGACGTTATAATATAATCATTAAAAACTTTAAAAACCTGTTATGGTGTTTATTCCTTCATTCATTGACTATAACATTGCCAATGCGTGTATGTGGCTTTAGAAGAGGGAAATGAAAAGGCGATTTCCTCAAGAGGACGTAACTATGAAGTATCAGGAGACCCATTGAGCCTCGTCCGTCAGGGACGCTATCCATAAAATAAAATTAAGTGAGAAAGTTTATTTTTAGCTTGTTTATGAGTAAAATATTCTGGGTTAACAGTGTTTTGGAGATGGTCTTCAGCATTAGGTTTTATCCGTAAACAGACACATTTTGGAATTGTTGTAGGTGTGTGTGTGTGTGTGTGTGCGCGTGTATGTGTGTGAGTGTGCGTGTGTGAGTATGCGCTTGTGTGCACTGAGTTATACGTATTGCACGTTAACCATTCATACTCTAATATAGTTACGTATTACGACGAGTTGGAATTTGCCCGTTTACCTGGGCAGGTAAAACATGAGTATGTTAGAAGAAGGCTATCTGGGGACTGGACGTACTGTACTGAAGGTCGCTTGTTAGATAGCCCTCCGTGTACATGTATGTATTTTGGTGACAAGCTGGGGGCGACAGACCTTCGTGCGGTGATTTGCGTTTATAATACACGGTACATGCAGCCCCAGCAGTTATATTCACCGTACACTGTGTTTGTAGGGTGGCGGCACAGTAGCCAGTAATTTGCCTAAACAGACACAGTGTATTCATGTCCTCAGAGGCTACTTGACAACTAATACCAATCGGACAGCTGGTTTATCAGAATCTTACATAATCTAATGCCAAAATATACAAGATGAAATACTTTTTATACTATGGCACTTAATAAATATAACATTTGTTATCATTTACGTGTGTAAAATGCACACACACACACACACCTGTTGGTTTGTTGAAATATTCCAGCTAAATCATGTATATGGCGGCGGTCTGTAAATGTCGAGTCTGGACCAGACAATCCAATGATCAGCAGCATGAGCATCGATCGTGAAGGGATACGTTGTGTGTCAACCAAGTCAGCGAGCCTGACCACCCGGCCGGCCGGCCTACCTACCTACCATATAGCTGGAATATTGCTGAGGACTAAAATCACTCTCTCACTCACTCACTTACGACAAGCATGGGTTGCCGAATATCTTTAGACCATTTCAAACGCGGATGTGTCTCGGGTCAAACCGCACACACTTGTAACTCCACTACATTGTAAATCACACAAGCACCTATAAAATGTTGACGCTCTACTCCTGTGACAACAATATGAGTAGAAAACCCAAAGCAACTACAAGTAATAACATCATTGGTGGGTGCGAAATGCAAGGGAAACACGTACGACATGATAATAAACATAGGTAATACAACACTTTATTCAACAGTGGAACATACCACAGTTTGATGGGAAAGAAGAAGTCAGATGTTGCATACCACCCAAACATCTATTTTGCAACCATGAAATCGATTGCAGAGCCTTGTTATCAGAACTAAGCTAATACCACTCACTGCTCTCACCGGGCCTCTCACCGGGCCTGTCACAGCTGGCATCGCGGCATCCCCGCCCCTCCTTCCCACCCCCGCGGTGTGTGTTGACACCTAATGGTGGTGCACCTCATAATGAAGGTGCAGATTACTGGTGTGTGAACTGCCTAGACTGGAACTCGGTCCGTTCATGTCTAAATATCCATAGCGTATACAGGCAACTGTCCCCATTTTGAGCACCACACCCAACACAATTGTCATGATTACATCTTACAAGGCGTGGGTGAAAGAACAGCATAAATCCTATTCACAACACCGGTGCAGGTGTTTACAACTAGTGAAAAAGCACATATGTAGAATGACAGTGTACGTGTCTTGTGTGCACACTTTCTATTATATCGACCCTGTGCTCAGGCAGAAGGGTGTCATTTGAAGAAATCATTTACATACTATCCACAAAGAAACAACAGCGCTACTGGGGTGATAAAATTCATGTTATTGTATTCCTATGGAGAGAGCGACAGCCAGGTTTAACTGTTCAGCCAGCACAGCATGACAGGTGGGATCCTTGCCGTGGTCCCAGAGCGGGCAGGCACACCTGTATTCATTGTCAACCTCCTCTCTGCTGAGGGCGACTGTCGTTGACATCGCGGTGCCTGTTATGTTCTGTATGGAGGAAGGTCGGCAAACCTGTCTGTTCACAACCGTTTCTCACACAGCACTAGGATCCAACCTGGTACCCCGAGCCAAAGCTAACAAGCACCACGACTGGTACAACATCTGGTTGACAAAATGTACAATATGGCGGATCCGACTCAAGCTAACATCAGCATCGGTAAGTCCCCATGACGTCTTGAGTAGGTCCCTTCACGATGGATGGCGACGCCAACCAGGTAGGTGCACTTGCACTGCTGTAGCACCAATACGTGTCACTAACGCTTTAGCCCCCTACAGTGTATTGATTCTGCCAATGATTGTACCTAGGTTTACCCATAGCATATTGTTACAATAACTCGCGTTTTGCATACATACGCGCAGTCATGTTGACTGAGACAATATGTCTCTCATTTTCCTTGCCTCAGATCTAGAATGAACTTTCCTGAAGACAAATAATATTGGTCATCATAGTTTGGGAATGAAACAAATCAGAACTGATGTATCATTAAAGTGAGTGGGCTTCAAACTGATTCTGAATACCCAAATAAATCTACACGCGCAGTAAATCAGTTTCCATTACGCGTGGCATCAGCCCTGTTATGTATTTGATTTCTTGTCATGTTTTAGATGATAAAACATTTTAGGAATCGACCCCGTTTACGACAGTAAATACTTATTGTTGGTATAGAAGTATCGATTACAATGATGTTATTTCAGCCTGATCACGGCTTTGATAAATATACCAGTACCTCCATCACTACACCCGCCAGTCGGTCACATCCCCGTTACCACGCTGTATAACGTACACGGCTGACATGGGAATCCCACCTGGTCTCAAGTCAACAGCGATTTCCTCTAACATTAACACCTGGATAGTTTTCAGTTTTCCTGAAATTGTATTCCGCATGTGAATAATGTATTTACCTTCGAATCGATACAGCTATATAATGTTGAATCACGAATCTATACGCTGGCCATATGGTTGTCTTGCAGTCGGTATACTGCTCCATGTTTCTGAGGCTTCGTTGTAACAAAATATTGTCAGTACAAATATATAGTTAACGTACTTTCTTTCTAAAATGTGTACACATCGGGCGTGTACAGTGGTCACTTTGACCTCGCGCAGGTTTTCACCATACCAAGACCTTGTTTTCTGCTCGCCCAAGCATAACCTGCAGTTTCACACTTTAATGACCTTACATGTCGCTTCCGGGTATAAGTGCGGTTGTCGAGACGGAGTTGAGATAGAGTTGAGATTGAGTTGAGATTGAGAGGAATTAAGCCAAACTTCTGAAAAGGTATATTTTGTTGGCATGCAATTTATCTCCCTCTTTTTGTTAAACATTCTTACCGAATAATATTACTGAACACGTATACATAATATTTAGGAAAAAAATGCGCCCACAAGTGTCAGGTCCTGGAGCTATGTGGCGTGACGTAAGATGACACCAGCGTTCCCTCAATCTGTGGGTGATATGCTGGATGAGTACACCTGTATATATATGGCATATGTTTCACTCGCGTGACGTGTACAGTATTCACCTGGGCTGCACAGCTCGTCCGGTCAAATCATTACAGTAAATGTGATGTTTGTCCTGTCAACTAGAATACACGGGAGCCATACCTGAGCTAACACAAGAGCCATGTTGCAGCACAAGTACATGGTAAGTCACTTTGTGTCACCAGCCTGACGGAGCCTCATATAAGGCGTAAGATCTGCGAGGGCTAAGCCTCATACAAGGCGTAAGAGATGTAGGATCTCCCTGAGTATGACATGAAACACGATGTACGGTCTGTCTGTGTATGACATAGTACACGATGTAGGATCTGCCTGAGTATGACATGAAACACGATGTACGATCTGCCTGTGTATGACATAGTACACGATGTAGGATCTGCCTGAGTATGACATAGTACACGATGTAGGATCTGCCTGTGTATGACATAGTACACGATGTAGGATCTGCCTGAGTATGACATAGTACACGATGTACGATCTGCCTGTGTATGACATAGTACACGATGTAGGATCTGCCTGTGTATGACATAGTACACGATGTAGGATCTGCCTGAGTATGACATAGTACACGATGTAGGATCTGCCTGTGTATGACATAGTACACGATGTAGGATCTGCCTGTGTATGACATAGTACACGATGTAGGATCTGCCTGTGTATGACATAGTACACGATGTACGATGTGCCTGTGTATGACATAGTACACGATGTAGGATCTGCCTGTGTATGACATAGTACACGATGTAGGATCTGCCTGTGTATGACATAGTACACGATGTACGATGTGCCTGTGTATGACATAGTACACGATGTACGATCTGCCTGTGTATGACGTATAACAACTGGCTGAGCGAAGCCTCATTCAGACTTATAATCCTTCTCACCTTAGCCTCGTACAGGTTGTTGGGTCTTAGTTTCTTACAGCATGTAGATAAGTATAGCATCGTAGAGACTGTAGGATGTGCGTGTGTTCTGTCTTGTACAAGCTGTATCAACTGTTTGGTTTTCCTCGTACAGGTTGTATTAACTGGCTGAGCCAAGCTTGACGTACACACTGTAGTAACTTCTGAGTCTAACCAAATACAGGCTTCCTCAGCTTAGCCAGGAGCATGGTGCATTCATCTGCTTAACATTAGAAATGGGCCTTTGAAACGCGTAGCAAACGGGGTAGCTTAATACAGAATGGAATACGTCTGTTATAGTCCGTTTGGCTCAAAATCGGACCGATGAATTGCAGTCTAACTCGAAAACTACTAAACATATAATACTCAATGAAACACTGATCATAATCAAAACATCAGACCAACTCTGTGACATTTTTGCAGAATTTATGTCCTAAAAATAAAAAACGTTGTTTAACAAACGATCATTAACATTTTGACACAGTTCCTTATTTGTTACGAGGGAGGATTGCAAAGAGAGGAACAGCCAGGTGTACCCGGAGCACGTGCACATGTGCCGACAAAGTTATTGAATCATTTACGTAGAGGGTAATGTCCGAGTAACTCTCCATTCCTTAAAAGTAATGGAGCCGAGGCCCCGGAGGGGCCGAGGCACACTATTTTTAAGGAATGGAAAGTTACGAGGATATTACCCTGCTTAAATTACATTCAAAGAACTGGGGATATTTCTGTTATCAAAATTAAATGTCAAAATGACAAAATGAAAGCCTTAATTTGAAACTGGTACACATCGCTCCATTCCCGAAAAGTAATGGAGCGAGCAAACAATGGAATGACGTCACAAATGTAATTTAACTGTGCTGTGCTGTGCTGTCTCCATCCTTTTTCGCACACCTGGCTGTTCCTCTCTTTGCACCCCTCCCTCGTAACAAATAGTGAACTATGTCTTGATTATGATCAGTGATTCCTTGAGTATTATATGTTTAGTAGTTTTCGAGTTAAGACTGCAATTCATCGGTCCGATTTTGAGCCAAACGGACAACAGTCTACTGCAACGGCTACACAGTAAACACGCTGTTGGCAGCCGTATACTGTCACAAGCAGTGGATATCCACTGGTAGAAGCCGTATACTGTCACAAGCAGAGGATATCCACTGGTAGAAGTCGTATACTGTCACAAGCAGTGGATAGCCACTGGTAGAAGTCGTATACTGTCACAAGCAGTGGATATCCACTGGTAGAAGTCGTATACTGTCACAAGCAGTGGATAACCACTGGTAGAAGTCGTATACTGTCACAAGCAGTGGATATCCACTGGTAGAAGTCGTATCATAGCAAGAACACTAGTACAATACCATATGGTAGAGGTTGTGAATACAATATAGTGGTGGATGATTGGATATCTATAATACGAAAATACACCAACTCCCGATAAAGTCAGATAGGTAATCTCAAAAGGGATTTTATGTATTATTCACGGACCAAATTAACTGTTTTCAACAAACCTATCCCCTCGTTACATTACCGATAATTACACTTACTACCAGGTGTGAGCCGGGAGTCGACACATCTGTTCACTGAGGTAAGTTATGTATTGATTATACCTATAACTTGACGGGAACAATCAGTGACTGTTTTGTATCATAAATTGATTGTACGAGTGGTTCTGTTGTAAGCTGGTCCAGTGAACTCTCTTGAACTGTGTGGATGTAGCCGGTTACAGCTGTGTACGACAACCAATGATCCCACACTTCTCGGGGCGATATGACAAGTCACCAGCTCCATTGATCCATTCATGCTCTGTGTTCATATTCAGTGACCAGCTGCTGGAGATTACCAATGATCCAAATGCATTACAAAATTTAATGATAAAAGTCCAAATCAGTATTTTTAATGGTTATTCTTTGATCTCAAGAACTGACAACAGTACCTGAGGTGAGGTAAGGTGAGGTGAGGTGAAATGGTGTTTAACGTCGTACTTAAGAATATTTCGTTCATATGACCAAGTGTATGCGCGTTTATGTGTGGCTGCTTGTACTGGCCCAGACTTAAACCCAGTTACGACTCCGGTTTTCTAAGTGCTGGTTAACTGAGATACCATGTCGCAGTGAAGCATGAATACCCCACTCGGACACATTATACTGACTCCGAGCCGACCAGTCCTTGTTGTTCCCATTAATGCCGAGCGCCATGAAGGGACCAACAAGTACCATATTTTAACATCTTTTGGTATGACGCGGCCGGGGATCAAACCCGCGACCTTCCGCTCTCCTGGTGGACGCTCTAACCACAACACCACGGAGGCGGTTTCCAGTACCTAAGAACTCAAAGAAAAATATCAAAGAATACCTCTCACACATATCTCTGTGTGCAGTTAAGTGCGGCTAAATGGTGCATTAGGTTATCGCACACTACAGTCATTGGGGCTGGCAGGGTGATCCTCTACCCGAAGTGATCATTATGATACAGGTACCCGATATGGGCGTTGTTGATATCACCCCGACAGGTGTGCGACAGGGCCGCATATTGAGCTTGTTGCTTTATTCTTTATTAATACTTGCTAAATGATGCAGTATCCGATGGAAACACAGCAATCAACTGTTTTACATTATTGAAGTTCAATACTGTTACATTATTGAAGTTCAATACTGTTATTGCCCTGAATATCCAGCTAGTTACACATGGCATCGTTGAACTGCAAACGCTGTATGAAACTGAAAACATATTATGAGTGAGTGAGTGAGTTTAGTTTTACGC